CCTTTTATATTTTGTATGAATAAGGCCATAAAACTTTACACAAAGTTTACGAAAATGCAGAATTTTTAGAAACTTTTTGGGTATACAGTTTTCTAACCTATTCAACTTTACGTGTAGCCTACTACCGTTAACTTTTAATTCAAACATACACATTATTATACTAAAATTTAATAGGCTACAAAAACGCATACCCAAAGAGTTTACAAAAATTTCTTAATAAAATTTGAAATTTGTGAAAGTTTATATATATATATATATATATGTATGTATGCATGTACATTTATCGTTAAAATTACTTCCAACGTGAAAGTAAGTTCTGCAACAATGAAATATTTTAAATTTTTATTGTTTTAATTTCAGGAAATAACTAGATATACGATTGAAGAATAAAATTATTTTAGTATCTCAAAAAACGTATTTTAATGAGTCCGATACTGAGTAGTATCGATACTTTTTCCCTGATACTTCTAGAGTATCGATACCATGAACTCGATGCCAGAATGAGTACTCAGTATCGATACCAAAGTCTCAAATTTCGAAACCTAACTATAAATGATTGAATACTGACTCTCTGTTTTTACATATCTCATGTATAGACTGGAGTGATTGTTGGCGTCTTGTTAGTGTTAATGACAAGCTAAGTTTCCATAATGGTCAACTATTTAATGCTTTTAATTTGTATGTTCCTGTCCGTGTTAGTAAAAATATGTCGACGTCTTATCCGTGGTGTAACGAAAAGATACAAACAGTCCTAAAAGCCAGAAATAAATGGCACACGGCATGGAAAAGAAATCCCTCTAAACAGAATTGGTTATTATTTAAAATGCAAGAAATAAGGTTACATATACAATCAGAATGGAAAAGCTAAAGTTTTTTACCTCAAAATTAGACCACTAACTCTGATCCTTTGTTTTGTGGCGTAATATTAAAAATCTTCGTGTACGTGCGCGTAGTATATCTGAGTGTAAGTTAAACGTTGATGTCTTAAATAGTACTTTTATAAAATGTCCTTCTGTTGCCCATCAAGTTCAATTTGTTCCTCTTACCGCTGCTAAATT